ATAATATTTTGTTTATACATAGGTACTTTAATTGCCAATTCTGATAACCATTGACGGCCCAAAATCGAAGTCGTACCGCCATTGATTATAAACAACTCCATATTTTTACTTTTGTCCCCCACACTAACTAATGGTTTTATTACACCTAACGGTTTAATTACAGAACCATCAATAAATTTAAAAACAAAATTAGTTTTTTCTATAGGTCTGTTCCAAAAGTATTTGTCGTATTTCTCCTTACTTATACAAGACACCAAGGACCCTGTATCAATTTCCATTGATAACGACTTATTATCAATTATCACTACAACACTTACCGGCTTATAACTATTTAAACTTAGTTGATGTAACTTCTCCACTTGCCAGTCCTCCTCGTCCGAGGTTGATGGAGGTTCATCATCTCCCGACCACTCAGGAAAATCCATCCCCTCCGACGATGCTTCGTCCATGGTTCGTACATGGGCTACCATGTTGTTGTGTATTCCTCCTCGCGATCCTCGTGGCCCCCCATTATTCAATGGGCACACACGATGTAAATGCCCGCGCTGCTTACATCTCCCGCAGATAAAGCGTCGGTAGCGACACTCATCGCTGCCGTGTCCCGCGGCTCCGCACGCATAACAATTGTATCTTGAGTCACCCTGTCCTTTCCGATCCAGCCCCGACGACGCTGCCGGAGCGCGTGCGCCCCCTCACCCCCGGTGGCCCGGTCCGCTCCGCCGCGCGGAGTGCGCGTTCACGGCGTTCAGCGCACTAACCGCGCTGCCGGTCTCGCTGCCGCCACCCGGGTCGGTCACGCCACCCGTCGTCTTTTGTTCCACCGCCGCTGCATCTTTTTCTGCCGCTTCCATTGCACAGGCTATGGTTACTGCTTTTCCATACACCAGATTCTCTTCCGCGAATAACCTTTGTCTGATTAATTCACTCCGCAACCCACAAATCAGCTGATCTCTTAGGTTATCTTCTAAAGCAGTTTTAAATTCGCAATATTTGGCCATTTTCTTCAACTCCGAGAGATATTGCGATATCGACTCAGCCGCATTTTGTCGCCTCTGTCGAAAATGATACCTTTGCGATATAAATGATGGTTTCGGTTGTAAATGGTTTTTAATCACGCTTACGACTTCTGTGTAGGTTTTTGAGCTTGGTAAATCTAGACTAGTCAAATTACTTAATAATTCATAAGACTCATCTCCCATAGCCGCGATTAAAGTGGGTAGCCACAAATCTGTTTTCACCTCATTCACTATGAAGAACATCTCCGCTCTTTCGATATACAAAGTCCAATTTCCAGTCCTTACATTAAATTCCGTCAATTTCCCGATCGGCATTTTATCTAGAAACTATTAACTTTTTACGAAAACCAATTCTCGTCGCCACTGAGATAAATAAGAAACGACGTGTAATACGAATCAAGGTTTATTGGTGACTGACGCACAGCACACTACAATGGTACATTTAGGTATCTCAATTCGTGCGCACGCACACACGCGCTTCACTCATACACTACAAAAAGCTATTGAAGTGTGCTGTTCATCCGAGGGAAAAAGGTATTTTGCCACAGGGTGCAGCTGAAAATAAACGGGCATAATTGTAGTAGATATCAAAGGTAAGGAGTAAGAAGCACGTTATATTCTTGTCAAATTCAAGGCGTAGGTTCCATCGACTAGAACTTGAACTACATTGTATTTTAACCACGACAATTTGACAGTTGTAACAAACACCAAACGTTGTTGACTGCTTTCTTGGGGAATGCAAAAAAAGTTCCAACGTTGACGTATAGGTTGAAATATTGTCAATCGATTTGATGTGATGTTAACTAAGAAGTTAATTAGTTTAGTACGTACCGCAAAAGATTCCGAACTCCGGAATTTGGAAAACGAAACAAAGAAACGTTTTCCTTTGCCGTGGATTTGCCACACTTCGAACACCTGCGACTGTCTTCTTTTCGGTTTTCTTTAGCGGCCGACATTTTCAGATTTCAAGAGTCACTATCTCGTATTCACTGTGAAGCACTAGAGTCACTATCTCAAAACGGGCACAAAACATAAACGGAGGAATAAAAACTCAACTCGACGTTCGTAGTTTGGAAAAATGACGAAATAGTATGGAAAAACAAAATTTCGGGCCACAACAACACCGACAACACCAACCTTGATGTAAAATCGCCATGTTGGTTTTCTAGGTTCTAGGACAATGTTGCTATTAGAAAATTTATTTAAGCATGAATGTTTATATCTTGACAGTGGTAATAACTGCCCAAATAGGTATTTTATTTCTCCCATACAAAGTTGATCCCCCCTGCCGGTGACGAACTAAACAATGGCCGATTGTGTAAACACCACAGGCCACGCTACGCCACGATTCCTTTGAAGTGTGCCCAAAAAACCGACAACTCCCCGATTGCGCGCCACGATTGACAATTGTCCGCCATCATATACCATTACCCCCTGTACACAATGGCGATAGCCTGTAGTGGGCCCGCATGGGCCATTGTGCACTGGGGCCTTTAGATTTCGTGCATTAGACGGAGGCTAATCACCTACTTGCCTATTAGATCTAAAAATGGTCATGAAACAAATTCAGAAATTTTAGGCCAAGACTTAAAGAGGTGGTAGTGACACTGATTTATTTTTATTGGAATGGCTCGCAAAACGGATTTTTTTTTCGACTTATGAGACACTTACTTTAGCAAATTTACACAATATATTTTTAAATGATAGCCTATGCATGATCTAATACTGTAAGGTTTCATTAAAATTCGTTGAGTATCTTGTGAAATATTGAATATCTGCCCAATTAGAATTTCTTTACAACACACAGACCCATCTAGCTAGCTGTACGCGAACTGAACAAATTGATTTATTGTAGTTAATAGGTATATCTGTCACCGTAAAATTGTAAACACCGTTAGATTGTAATCTATCTCGCGAGATTATAAACTGTCGAAAGATTGTGAACCTCAACGAACTGCTTACTATTTAACGTATTATTATTCGGTAGATTGTAATCTATCGAAGTGAAACCGTCAAATTGTGAAACGGATCGCACCTCGCGCGCTGATTGGTTGAACGGAATATGCCCCGTGCCACCATATTTGTTTGTTAATTCGTTTGTTGTCGAATGTAACTTGATTGTTTTGATGAATGTAAATTGATGTCGTGTTTATTGTATATTATTTTTAATTTTTATTGTAATAAATATTTTTTCTTAAAAATGCAAGAAATACGCACTATTCCAACTGATATTCTAAATATTATACCTAAGTTCGATGGGGAACAAAAACTATTAAATTTATTTTTAAATAAAAGTGAGTATGTCATTAGAGCCTTTAGGCCAGAACGTCCGAATATAGCACAAGATATATACATATTTCATGTTATTACAAGTCGCCTTAGAGGCAAGGCAAGTCACTTGATTAGCGAGAGACAAGACATTAATAATTGGGAGGAGCTAAGAACAACTCTTATGCAACATTTCGGAGATCCTAGAACTGAAGAATGTATTTCAATTGAGTTAGAAAATATTAAAATTAATCAAGGTGAGTCATATTTAAGTTTTTGTAATCGAATCCAAAGCGTCGGTAGCACATTATTTTCGAAAATCAATTTAATAGAGGACGAGAATATTAAGAACGCGAAGATGAATATATATAACCATACATGTTTAAATGTTTTCCTTTTTAATTTGCCCGAAGATATGATACGCGTTGTCCGATTACATAGATGTACAACTCTAGAAGACGCGCTCAGTGTAGTAATGGAAGAAGTGAATTTCCTTAACCAATATAAATCACGGAGTGTTAATAGACAAAAATATACTCAAAATATTAATGAAAAAAATAATTTAACACAAAATAATTTACCACAAAATAATTTATCACAAAATAATTTTTCACGAAATAAGTCAATAAGTATTTGACAGAATTTAAATATTATGAGCCATTCGAAGTCGTGAGTACACACGCACAGAGTCACCATAACGAAGTAATTTATATACCTCTCTTTAAAACTTTTTGTAGTACAGATTATCACAAATTTTATATCTATAATGTGGATAGCGATTATGGCGGTTTAATAGGATCAGACTTAATAAAACAACTTGAGGCTAATATAGACATGAAAAATCAAATATTAAGAACTCGTGACACAGAAATACCAATTATTTATAGTATACCATTTGCCATTAAAGTCATTCATAAGAATGGAAAGCAAAACACCAATGCTGATGCTCTCTCGCGTATTAAATTAAATGCTTTAGGTAAAAACGATAAAGATAATCAATCAATGGTAGTTAATGTAGATAACTCTGATAGAAATCTTGATGATTATATTCAAGAATTAACCGATTCTATAACACGATTAGGACAAAACAACCAAAGTAAAGAACCTGAAAATGATAACAGTAACTCTATGTCTTTTTCTGAAGCATCTAGGTCTATTCCATCTCGAGTTAATTCCAGGTCATCATCACGTACATTAACAATAAACTCTAGTACAGATACAGCACATTCTGCTGAAGATATGGATACAGATGGCATTCCCATACTTTACGAAGCTATAGATACAAAACCAAACCAAATATTAATATACCCATGGTTTAAAAATGAACTTTCAGTTAAATTTCGCTCACATCCCAAGCAAAAGATTTTAGAGGTTCACTTACCCCTAGATAATTCCGAGTTAATAAAAAAATTTCTTAAAGAATATATTAGACCCAAAATTAAATACTTTATCTATTACGAAAATAAAGCACACCGACAATTATTCACACAAGTATTAATTTCATTATTTAGAAAAGAAACCGTAAAGCTTTATGAATGCACTGAAAGAGTAAAGCCTAGGTATGAAAAAGCAAAAGTTAAGGGTAAAATAAAAATAAATGTAGTATTGGTAGAAACTAGCACAAAAGATAAAAACGTTCCAATAAAATACATAAAACGTCCCCCACAGGTTCGTCCTGCTAGTGACCCAAGCAGTAACGATCCGTGCCCTTCAACTTCAAAAGGTTGAGAAGAATCCAGGCGTTCTCCCTCTCAGAGAAGCTGAGAAGCCTCTAAAAAAATCACCGCGGGAGCTGTAGGGTGCAACTTTGTCGACCTTAGTATCTAGGACATATATGCCATCACCGCCACCCAAATAAACTAATCCGTTGTCCTGGTCGAGATCAAATGTACCCAAATTCATGATTTTGCCGACAGAAACGATTGAGCTGTTTGTGAGATCATCAATATTTATAGAGCCCACTTTGTAATACTCCGGGTCGGTGATTCTCGGCTCGAAACTGTAAAATAGGGTGTTGCTGGATCTTAATAGCGCTAATTTGTGGATAACTACGCGATTTCGGAATGGTGCATCTATATCGAAAACATATGATACGTTGTAACACGTTCCGTTGCCTCGTACACATGTCGGGCAGGGCTCTTGCGAAGCCACTAATGATATCGGCAAGAGGATCGCAAACAGCATTTTTATGTCTGAAAGGAAATCATTCATTATTAAACAATCTCAATAAACTTTTGCTTATACAAACAAAACTTTATTTATCTTTTACAATGCATTATTAGCCTCTCAAGTATCGACTTTTAACCAGTGCAGGATTACTTAATCATACATTGCATATCGGGTACAAAGTTGAATAACTAAGGATAGCTACGAATTTTCTAACAGCTAATAAAACACCCTTTTATAAATGGTTAAATGAATATGTTGTCAATTATAATAATCAAAAACCATAACTTATGAACTCGGATTGATAAGATGTGAAAGCTTATCAGCTAGACTGAGACAGTTTAAAGCTTATAACCGAACACTCCTAATTGTATTAAGCCTAACATCTATTACACGAAGAAAATTTAACAAACAATTAATTATTTTTTTATGTTAAACTAAGTAATAAGGAAGATCTGTCAAGTAAAGAGATTCTCATTCCTGAGATCGTCCATTCAATCCTCGGCTCATGCATCATTGGTTTTTATCTATGTGCGCAAACAACGCTTTTTTATTTAAGTAATCAAATATATTAAGAAGAAAAATTTACGACGTTAGAAAGCTTAACTTTCGTTCAAAAACATCAAAGAACTATGTCCCATTAGAAGTGACCGAATAGTGAGAAAAATCTAGAATTCCAGTCGAAAATTTAAATGTATCTGAGCAACCACATTCACAATTTCGTGTGTTTATAGTATAATAATAAAATGAGCGTGTAATAAATATTTGACACTTTCAGGCATCCGTAACCACGTAATTGGAACTGGAAGATTCCAAAACTATTGTTAGTTTAGGAGGCCTACAAAACCTCGACGTCCGTCGTTCCACAACTGAGCGTTTTTCAAGGCAGTTTTTGCCGCGCACCACCACTATGTAGAACCAGCTGCGATATTTCCGAACCATTTCGGCTTAGGGTCCTTCAAGAAAAGAGCGTAACAATTCATAAAAGGCCGGCAACGCACTCGGGAGCCCTCTGGCATTGAGAGTGTCCATGGGCGACGGTATCACTTAACATCAGATGAGCCTCTTGCCGTTTGCCCGCTCTTCTATAAAAATCCCTGTTTCTATAAAAAGGTATCTCCCCTAGATACTATTTCATAGAAACATGGTTTAAAATATAAATGAAATCACGAATAAAAAACACTAAACTTATCCGAACGAAAGAGAACGCTATCATTTTCAATGATTCGTTTATTATTCAAATATAACTAGTATCATTGCGCAATCAAAAATGTAATTTAGTCATGTAGCAAAAAATAAATACCACGTATACTATGGAAGTTTAAATTATGAAAATTAATACATAAGTCTGTAAGGTGGAAATTTCGTAAAATCGTTAGCTTAAAACATGTTGAATTGGCTGCCCTCTTTGCGCTTTCTTTGAAGATTAGACGAAATTAATTGTTAGAGCTCAAGTTTATCTTTATTTTACCCGGGACTCGTGCACAAAAGGCAAATTTAAATTATCTAAATAGAAAATTGCGCTTTTTAGAATTTTTCGCAAGCTTCACTTCTAATCCTTAAATTGTCATTATTTTAAAGTAATCATTCCTTTAATGTTATAGATATATATCTATATGTGTACTTAATCTAACACTGATATATTTTAAATAGACAAGAAGGAGAGTGGGCAATGGGTTATAAACAAAGTCCGTGTATTGATGTTTAGAACGTTTGAATCGTTTCTATACATCAATCAATAATGTATCTTTTTCAGCGACGCAATTTCAGCGGAAATTGAGCCTTCTGGCAATTTTAATGTCCATGGGCGGTGGTTTTACTTAACATCAGATGAGCCTCTTGCTCGATCGCCCCTGTTCTATTTAAATAAAAAACTTTACGATTAATTCAATGAAAATTTTAGGCGTGGTGCAAAGGCGTGAGTGACTAAAAGAAACTTGTGTTTTATTTCTATGGGCTATAGAAATTACCCAAATTAAACTGTTATAACCAAGACATGTCCGCGTTTACGCTTTATGCAGTAACAAGTAAGTAACTAACCTATAATATTAAATTGATTAAATACATAACTAAAAATAACATCTAAATAAGGTTATTCTACGACAGGAAGCCAAACAGCGGTTAATAACCATCAAAGAGAATGCAATGAATTCACATTTAACCTAAATATCTAGACATGCAGCTATGCAAGTCTAAACTAAGAGCTATATTAACCGTCTGCTCGCAAAATTACTGTCTGAATACACACGAATGTATTCACTAAATTCTTTAAAGTAAACGGACTTTGCGAAGGTTAATGCACCACGGTACGTTAACTTAATTTAACTTAAATTGTGGATAAAAATTTAAATTAAACTTGACTGAAAGATGTTTGATATTTCATGTAAAATGGAGTCTATTTATTTAACAAGTCGCCAAAATTAATTTACAAAACTATAAGTCTGCATCTAAAACTTGAGTTTCCTAAACGTCTAAGTGACCCGATATTCATAATATAGCTTTCTAATTCACCCAGCTCTGACTGCTCACCGAAGGATAACTCTGGATTACTTTTGGATGCTAAGCGCTCTTTATATGTATCGTGTTTAAACACATTTTGTGGTCTAATATATTATTATTGTTATCTAATTAACCCATTTGAGAAGTGTTGGCCTAGTAGCTTCAGCGTGCGATTATCAACCGTGGTGGTCTGAGGTCGTGGGTTCACAAAAGGAAAAATTAGTTATACGTAATAAGAGCTATTCATGTTTCCGAAATTAAAAGCATTTTTATTCTTCAGAAGCCAAGAAATGGTTTAGGCAATCAATTATTAACTTTAGATTAGACGATGACGATTGACGCCAAATTTAGTCATTGTGGATGTCTGAAATAATTGGATAGATAATTGGAGAGATTAAATGATACATCAAGGACTCACACATTTCCAGAAGGCTCTCAAGTGCGTTTCCGGCCTCCACATAGGGCTGGCAAAAATTGCCTTAAGAAACGCTAAGTTCTAGAACGGCGGACGTCGAGTTGACACAGCTGTATCCGAACAAAGCCTCTGAACACTCTTCGTAGTAAATGCGGTAGAAGATCCAGAGATACCCCACATCTCTACGCAACGACAAGGAATCAGGCCGCTCAAAAGGTGACTGGTCATCGCCGATTTGAATCGCTCTACGGGCAAGTGGAAGGAGCTGGTATTGGTGAGGTCCCGCCCAGAGGTGACAACAGTACTACATGTGGGGCCGAACTCTCGCTTTAAAGAGATGTAAGCGGTGGCCCGGAAGCTAATTTAGCCTTCCCTTCCAAATGACCGCGAAACTAAACGTCATTCGATATGTCAACGCCCAGTATTCCGATGCTGGCTGTTGCTTTAAGGAAATCTATGAAGAGAGAAGTAGCGACCAAGGGTATTTTATTTATCTGTCCTAACATACACCATGACCTAATGAAGCCTCTAACAAAACCCTTGTTTTGGCGAAGTCCGAAACTGCCAAAGAAAATTATTGTAAATTTATAAAATACAAAGACAAGTATAGACAATATAAAGACCCTCATCCTATGAAGACAAAGGCAGTATTATTCAAAGGCAATGAAGCATATTTTATTCAGGGACACGCAACAGGCCAAAATCCGCGAACCTTGTTAATATTAAATGCAATCAACTAAATGAATTGCACACAACATTTGTGGCTTACAAGTGAAAAATACAAATTACCAACATTCGTCAACTGGAGTGAAACCTTTCCGCGGAGTTTTCATGTGAAAATTGAAATAAAAAAATGAGAAAGGCGCGGAAAACTCGACTCGAGGCTTTTAAGTACGATTATTTATTCTGTGGGTTTATGGCGCGCACTTTATTTGACTCCACGTCTCACGTAAATCAAAAGCATACACTCGTACATCTTGTGGTGTATTCTTAATTATAATATTGTGCTGTTTACTGCTGTTTTTCAATGCACAATGATGGCGGCAAGTTTCAGAGTAGTCCAAAGAAGAGCAGGGACTAAGAATCTTCTTCAGCGAGTTGCGCCAGAAATGCATTTTGGTCTTGATATGATAGGGTAGGGTGTGAAGTAAGATTTCTGACCACTTACTTGTTTAGTATATATGTCACCGTAAAATTGTAAACACCGTTAGATTGTAATCTATCTCGCGAGATTGTAAACTGTCGAAAGATTGTGAACTCAACGTACTGCTTACAATTTAACGTATTATTATTCGGTAGATTGTAATCTATCGAAGTGAAACCGTCAAATTGTGAAACGGCCATTTTCTACTTTTCTATTGGTTATAAGAGATGTGACATTCTCGTTTTCTATTGGTTATAAGTGATGTGACATTCTCGGTTAATTAATCGAATCGATTATTTCCTCATTTGTTAATTTTAAAGTTGAACCTAATCGAATCGATTATTTCCTCATTTGTAAATTTTAAAGTTAAACCTAATTTAACCATTACTTGTCAAATGTACATACATTACATTAACTTCATGTTTCAATTAGTGTAGGGTTCCGAAATTTTTTAAATTATTCTAAAAGTACCCAAAACCGAATCAGAGCACCCCACTATCCACGTGGTCTTGTCTGCTCTATCCCTAGAGTGTATATAAAAAATCGGAGGCGCGGAGGAAAAGCAGCCCCCACCCGCTGTAACAAAGCACAGGCATTATGCAAGCCGTAGCGGCTAAGGCTTGGTCGCCGAAAGCCAAAGGCTGAAGGCGGAGGCTTGAATAAATTGCCTGTGCTTTGGTACGCAAGGGTGGAGGGGCTGCATTTCCCGTAGCGCCGGAGCTGTCCAAAAAATGTATTATTATTCGGTTAGGTTAGGTTAGTATATTAAATTTTTTTTTAAATAACTGTTCAACTGAAACTCGAAATCCCGTACAAAAATCGATTTTCACTTTTAAAAAATAGATTATTTTTGAATAATTTCAAAATTTTCGGAACCCTACACTAACTGAAACATGAAGTTAATGTAATGTATGTACATTTGACAAATAATGGTTAAATTAGGTTTAAATTTAAAATTAA